CTCTTGCCCAAAGCCTTTGGCCTGGATCCATCTAGAACTTTTGCCGTCCTACATGTGTGAAGCAACGAAGGATGCGCAAGTCCAATGAGCTTCATTTGGCACTTCAACATGTTCAAAGGGCTTTGCATGTGAAGCAATGATAACGGTTCCATCAAGGTCTCCTACCTTTCTTGCTAGTGAAGCTGCCAGTGTTGTCCTGCATAAGAAGTTGAATTGCAAAAAGGTCGAAAGCACAAGGATATGGATGGTTGGTGTCCAGGGCAGTCCATTGTGCAGAAAATGGAACGATAACAAACACGTCCAAAAATGGCTCGTCTCCAGCATCTGACTCTTTTGACCATATCATTTGCCAGTGTTCAACAGCACAGGCACCAAATGGCTGCCGAATCTGTGATCTCCTATCCTTTTCAGCCGAATTCCTGGCACCTGGTTGTCGAACTGTCACGACTCCTGCAGGCACTTACAAATCCCAGCACCTGACTCGCGCATGTCGAGCACCTCTTCGGTCTAAGCTAATCAGTCCAAGTGTTCGTTCACCTTTGCCAAAGGGTGCGTTGGATCTGTCTAGATAAATTGGCAACTGGATAAACGCCTGAAAAATGTCTGAACCATCTTCATGTCCCATGCAGTCCATTCAGCAGGACAGTGGAAATTATCATAAAGTTGTCTGACACATTCACGGGAGATGAAAAATGAGCTGCTGTGAAAGTGTGTTCTTTCAAAAGTAAAGAGATGTTGAACTGCTGGGGTGCCTGTTCTAATGGGCTCTTCTTTCGCAAGTTCCTTTCGCACCACTTTCGTGGCTTGCGTTTTGGCTTTCGCGCGCTGCATTCTGTGCAAGAACACTTTCGCAAGCTTTCGCGGACGGAGCTGATTTTGCACCCAAGTAACAATTTGAAGAGAGGTTAATGTATTATGCCTTCGCGAAAGCAAAACATGCAGTCGCGAAAGATCGTGCGAACTTTTCGTTGGCGAAAGCTTGCGAAAGCTCTGTTCTTTCAAAGGTAAAGAGCCGTTGAACTGCTGAGGTGCCTATGCTGGGGTGCTTTCGTAGGGCCAGAATTGGTGGAAAGGGTGGCTTCGCGAGGCGTTGCTTTGCGAGGCTTCACGCTTCGCGAGGCTTCTGCAGTGCGGGTTTACACACGGCTTTGGCCATCTGGCACCTAAGCGGGATTCCGGTCGTGGATGAACCCGAGCTATCGAGGTGTTTAGCAGAGCGGAGCTGTCTGTACCTTGTATACTCAGTGAAAGCATCAGTCTGTGACTTGCAAAACATGGGGACTTGACTGAGGGCCAGACTCCTTGGTAGTCTCTGAGACATGAAATCAGAAACCAGCAAGCAATGCCAAGGGGACATGTCAAAATGAATCATGTGCGAATGATGACATGGGAGCGAACTTGTGGTGCCTTCATGAGGCCACATCTACGGAGAGCGTCTGGCGCTGGGTCACGAAGGAGAAGGTTATTCAACCAGGTTTCGGCTTTTGAGGGGCGCCGATCGCATTTGTGCAGCCCCGGCCACTTGAAAAACGCAGCCGGTCACGAACAGCATTGACATGGTTGTTGCATGCGTTTGCTTCATGTACCGCGCTTTCTCTGCACTGTTCGCGACGTGTTTCTCTGGCTCCGTTCCCACTGGATCAGACATTCCAGCGCCGAAAACGGCACCTTTGATGCCCGATCAACATTTTGGGCGCTGCGGTTGTGTCTGGTGGTGTACAGTTTCAGTCTCTGGCCTAAGTTGACGCGTCTCAATTTTTGCCTTGTTTAGCTGGATACTGTATCGCTTTTGCTTTTGATGAGGCCCTACCTTTCCAAGCAGTTTCACGACCACTCCTACTAAATTGGTCATTGGGCGGTTGCTCACATCCCTCCTCTTTTCCGAGCAGTCCGCCTGTCTCTGTCAGCGCCGAAAACGGCTACTAGGAACAAGAAGCTACTAGGAGCAAAGGGCATCGCTACTAGAAGCAAGGACGCTTCTAAAACAGTAGGGTCGGAACATCTCGACAGAAAAACACACCCAAACTACTGCATCAAAACGCTCTGAAATAAAGGCCATTGGCCCTTCTTGTCTTTTGCTACTAGGAACAAAAACGCTACTAGGAACAAGTGCATCGCTACTAGTAACAAGTGCCTTACTACTAGGAACAAAAACGCTAGTTACTAGTTACTACATGTTACTACTAGTTTCTTGTTACTACTAGTAAGGCACTTGTTACTACTAGTAAGGCACTTGTTACTAGTAGCGTGGCACTTGTTACTAATAGCTTCAATAACAAGGCGTTCCCTGAATCGACATTCGCTCTTGAACTCCCTTCAGAGTGAGCGTCGGACTGCCTGAGCTCCACTGGAAGTCGTGATCAAAACGCGAGGCCCTGCAACGCTTGTCACCATAGAGAACGCATCCCTCCGGCCCCCTCATAGAGAGTTTCCTGGAGCGCAGCCAAAAGCCAACAAACTCGATGCTTCACGAGGGGCAACTCACTTTGGGAAGTTCAATTCAAACTTGACTTTTACTATACTACCGGCAAGTGACTGAGGAGTTAGGGCTGCTAATTTTATAGGAGTTAGGATGCATACATAACCTTGCAATGGATCCCCCAAAACACTTTAGGAGTTAGCTGCGGTTCCTTTGTAGTATCATTCCAAGTCATCAGTTCCAGTTCATTGATTTTTGATGACTGTAGGAGGTAGGCATAGACTGCTCTTAGCTACCTCTCCTGGTCATTTCCCAACGCTGATGACTGAGGAGTTTCAAAACCGCGGCATTGCTAGTGTTCTTGTTACTAGCAGTAAGCCCAGGAGCCCCGATCGTAGCGTCCTCGCCTCTCCGCGAAGTCCAAGTTGTTCTCGTCATCTTCTCGGATCTCATACGGTCCGATGAAGACCCGGGTGTGCGTGTCGTTGTCCTCACCTTAGATTCTGGTGCCGGGTCCAGGCATGAAAACTTGAGGCTCAACTGTAACTGGAAGTTCACCCTGTGGCAAGTATACTAAATTTAATTAGCACACGATGTAGACTCGTAGACACCATCTACACACCTTGAAAGATCGGTTGATGATATCTTTGCCGAGGGACTATCTCGGTAGTGCCTGATTTCCATCTTCATCTCCTTGGAGCTCTGGCGCTTGTCAGGCGAATTTGTCCATAGAATAACAAAGGATCTACTGCGAATCCATGAACGGCTTCGGCTGCATGAGATTGAGGTGCCATGATGTATAAAGTAATCGGCTAGGCTTCTGTGCAAATGGTCATGGAGAACGGGATGTTTGGCCAACTTGGTTCTACCTCAATTGGTATTTGTTGGCGGGGCATTCAAGAAGCCATCGCGCACTAACCATCTGAGGAATAGCGCAGTTCATAAGTCAAAGCGAAACTTCAGCCACATAGCTCGCTTACAGCATCTTGTCTTGCTTGTTTCTCGTGGAACGTGAGTGGAACACCCGGAGTGGAAGAGTGAAGCCAATCCAAGGTCTCTCCGTTTAACCATGTTAGTTTGCTTCATTTTGGTAGTTTGCAAACAAAGGCAAGGATTGTTGGAAGACGCTCATGTTCAATCTCATGTTGCAAGACGACTCTTCGTCGAAATGTCAGAGCATCTGATAGGAACAAAGAGAATCGCTACTAGGAGCAAGGACGCTACTAGAAGCTCCTGGCCTTACTACTAGTAACAAGAATACTACTAGGAGCAAAGGGCACCGCTAGTGGGAGCAAGAAGCAATTAGGAACAAGTGCCACTCTACTAGTAACAAGTGCCTTACTAGTAGTAACAAGGACGCTATTAGAAACAAGCGCCACGCTAGGAGGAACAAGTGCCTTACTGGTAGTAACAAGGACGCTAGTAGAAACAATAAGCTACTAGGGACAAGTGCATCGCTAGTAGTAGCAAGTGCCTTACTAGTAGTAACAAGGACGTTACTAGGAACAAGTGCCTTACTACTAGGAGCAAGAAGCTACTAGGGGCTCCTGGCCTTACTAGTAGTAACAAGGACGCTACTAATTTAATTCTAACCTAATTGAATTCTAATAGTTTAATTCTAATTCTAATTTGATTTAATTCTAATTTAACTTAATTCTAATTATAATGTAATTTAATTCTAATGTATTTTAATTCTAATTTAAGTTAATTTGATTCCAATTTAGTTTACTTCTAACTTAGTTTAATTCTAATTCTAACTTAATTTTAATTCCAATTTAACTTAATTCTAATTTACTTTAATTCTAATTCTGATTTAACTTAATTTTGACTAATTTAGTTTAATTCTAATTTAGTTTAATTCTAATTCTAACTTAAATCTAATTTAGTTTATTTTGATTCTAATTTAGTTTAATTCTAATTAGAATTTAAGTCAATTCTAATTCTAATTCAAGTCTAATTCTAATTTGTTACTACTAGTAAGGCACTTGTTACTAGTAGCGATGCACTTGTTCCTAATAGCTTCTTGTTACTACTAGTAAGGCACTTGTTAATTAATGACTGTAATTACTCAAGTTAGTTTAATTCTACTAGCTTCTTGTTACTAGTAGTAAGGCACCTGTTACTACTAGTAAGGAAGCTACCGCATATCAGCCCAGTCTCAGTGCCTTTGCTGGTCGTGTAGACCGTATCTTGCACCCATCCGCTCGGCGGCACACCCAGAATCCGCAGCACGGCCTCTCTGGGACGCGCCATGCTCTTGAGCTCAGATGGCACCGCAAGAGGCTGATGTCTAGTAGCGTCCTCGCTCCCAGTAGCGATGCCAGGCGCCCCTAGTAGCTTCTTGTTCCTAATAGCTTCTTGTTACTACTGGCAGCTGTTCTTCATCTTCTGTGGGAAGACAGGACTGACGGGGTGCAACAATCAAGACTAGTGAGTCTAGTAGTACGTAGTCTCCTATCAATCACATAGCCGAAAAGCAAATTTAGATGTCCATTTACTTGGCTGTTTTTTTCGTGGAGCTCGTTTCGCTAAAAAAACTTCTCCGTTCGAGTCTTTCTCCGGTTTACTCCTGGGCCCGGACGGCCTCATGACACTTAAAAGCTCCGTGGCGGCTTCCCAGGCCTTCGCCTCGTTGGCGCTACCGTTGGCAACGACCGGAACCAAACGCGTTTCTTTCCAAAAGCCTAGTAGCGTTCTTGTTACTAGTAGTAAGGCCAGGAGCCCTTGTACCGTCCTTGCTCCTAGTAGCGATGCCCTGTTCCTAGTAGCTTCGTGTTACTACTGTCAAAAGCCAAACGGTTTGGAACCAAAGCCACGTTCCCGTCTGGGAAGATGTCGCGTGGTGTCTGCTGCTTTCCCTTCAGGAGGCTACAGGCTGCACATTTATTAAGAGTCGGGAATCTGTCGTTTTGACAGAACCTAGTCCTGAACAGGTCAGGGTAGCTCTACAACACTGAGCCTACAAAGTTTAGCTGATGGAATGCTGCTGCGGGGCTGTGGTTGTCAACAGAAGAGTGGTTTTCCTCTCAACAAAACCTCAAGTGGTTTTGGCCTGTTTCGGCCATACTGCCAGGTCGCACCTGGCTGCATGCGCCCAAAATGTGTCGCAAAGCCGTTGATCCACTGTAGCCCTGGAGCGAGCTGAGCACAAGAAGCATCAAGACATGTTCGATGCAGCATGATGCAGCCTTCTGGAGCATATGCGTCCGAGTGCCACGGGTTGTTCACGCAGGACCCTAATTCGCGTCGAATGGTCGAATGTCCAAAAGCGAACAAAGTCAAAACGAAAGAGATTAAGAAAAAACAACATGTATCGTCCTTGGGAATCGTTTCCCTGGGAATCGGTTCACCTGTAGTAACAAGAAGCTCTTTAAATTTAGTACAGTATGTCTTTGAGGCGATTAGGAGCAAGGACGCTACTAGTAGGACGCAACTGGTTTAGATTTGTCGTGTCTTTATCTTTTTGGACACAAATGGCCAGTGTGGCCACTAGTGCCTGCACCTTAGGTCTGGGACGTCACTAAGAAATTGAGTATAAATCTGGCCGTCACTGCCCCTTTCCACTCTATACCTATGTCGCCCCCACATTTCAGGCTGCAAGTGTCGATGTTGCCGTGAGAGGTATCGAAGTATGATTTGTCTCGACCTGAAAGACTGGCATTAAACATCATGACAGCATCCAAAAACAAATATAGATATTTGATTGTATTTGATGTATTTGTCTCAATCGAAATTAACATCAAGTCATGTGAATTAGCCGTAGTTTGCGAGACTTGCCACACCTTCAAGGCTCCAAAGACCAGGTTCAAGGCCAGCTGCCAATGCCCTGTGGAGCTTTGGGAATGATACAAGACTGGCTGTTTCTCAAGACTGTAAAAACGTTCGTGAATGATACATCTGGTGTAAACTGAGTTAGAAAGAATCACCACGGACCATGCAGTTTGGGAATGGCTTTTCTGATGCCATGTCATTCCTTCCCCCTGCTGCATAGCCCTCCTTTTCTTGAAACTCCACGCACTTCTGGCCTGGCTAACGCCGTTACGCTCAATGGACATTGATGGTTGGATGTACGTCCACATGTACCACACCGCCGCCGGGCATAGCTGTGCCTGCACCTCCGGCCCCAAGCATCTTGCCCCAGTCAATGGAACCCCAATCAAACTTCGACCAATCCATCTTCGAGAGGTCCATCTTTGACCAATCCATGTTGCCGATATTGCTTTGAGTCGGAGCTGACTGAGAGCCGGGTTTTGATTGTGTCTTGATCGAATATTGCATGCACATCTGAGCTTCCTTGCTCCACTGGTAGCCATCCATACACAAACACATGCCCTTCCTGACTGTGCTATGAATGATAAATTTAGAAGCCATCAACCCAGCTTGAGAACACATGCCTTAAACCTCTCTAAAAAAAGAGTGCAAACAAGCAAAAATGTGCATAAAGTCAAAGCCCAGCTTCTCGCAAACCATTGAGCCTGCATAGCGGGAAGGGCAGTCGTTGTCGGCTTTGCATTTCGCCTGAGGTTGAACGAACCCCTTGACAGAGAGATGTAGAGATGTAGAGTCACAAATAACGACCCTCCAGCAGCAAGCCTCGTTCTTCACGGAATTTGAGGGAGTCTAGGAGCAAGAAGCTACTAGGGGCTCCTGGCCTCGCTACTAGGAGCAAGAAGCTACTAGGGGCTCCTGGCCTCGCTACTAGGAGCAAGGACGCTACTAGGGGCTCCTGGCCTTACTACTAGGAGCAAGGACGCTACTAGGAGCTCCTGGCCTCGCTACTAGGAGCAAGGACGCTACTAGGGGCTCCTGACCTTTCTGCTAGGAGCAAGGACGCTACTAGGGGCTCCTGGCCCCGCTACTAGGAGCAAGGATGCTACTAGGGGCTCCTGGTCTAGCCATCCTTTCCGAAGTCGACTGGGCAAGTCTAGGGGATGGAGTGTGTCACGGAACAACCGAGGTGCTATTTTGGGTTCAGGCGAACTGCCGGAAGAGTTCGTGCAACGAGGAGTATCCCAAAGGGGTAGTTGAGGCCAAAGACCAAAAACCCCGTTTCAAAAGAAAAGCACAGCCCAAAGCATTTAGAAAGAAACGACCTAAGGACCTAAGGCGTTACAAACAACTTGTAGTCAACGAGTTTACTAGGTTCAAGATGAGTAGTTTAAGTATCCTTTCAATCCCCTTCAACAAAAAACACGTGCCTCTCAATCCTCTAAGTATAAACGATTGACAATCAAACTCGCCTGAGTTTGTCGTTGGCTGAGGGTAGTGTGGGCTTGATATGTGAAGCCATCCTTGAGCCGAGCAGGAGGGATTTGGCATCTGCCATTCTCGGCACACATGTCACCGCGGCACATGCATCGTCCATCCATGGAGCAAACACCTCGAAAGTGAGGGCATCCAGTCAATCCAGTTCCAGCTTTTTGGCCGCACTTGAAGCCTGTGTCCTGGTTGCACATGCGGGTTCCAGGGCCATTGAACTCCCAAAGCTTGCAATGGCCATGGATCTCACACTGACCGTATTCGCACATACATTTCTTGGACCATGGATCACACACACCTTTGCCCTGAGGGCATTTGGATCTCGCGCAGCTGGCCATCACATCCTTCGCGCACCACTCTCGGACTCGATCATCGGTCTTGTTGGCACGGAGCTGGATCGCCTGGAACGCGCAATCGGAACCACTGTCACAAACATCCTCAGGAAGCTGTTCCTGGGCCGTAGCAAGGACCAAATAGCACAGAAACGCAAACATGATGCCCCGGAACTAGAATGAGGCTGACAGGCTGACAGCCAAAGGCTCAGCGGGTACTCAAGAAATGCAAGGCACACAAAGCAAGCATGAAATCTGTGTATCTATATAGGTTTAGGCTAGCAGTTTTGGTGTTTGCTTTCTCCAACGACTTCTCGCGAGTGCAGCTCGTCAATCTCTCCAACGAGTAAGTGCCAAGCCCAAACCATTCTGGTCGGAAAAAATATAAGAAAAAGCTGTGCTTACAGGCTTTACGCCACGTTCTCACAGAAATCGCCTGACAGGGCGCAAGCACCAATCACAGAGCTGACGACCTCCTCCTTTCTGACGCTATTTGCAGACCTGAATGACCAAACATCGCGACTGGTTGACGGTAATGACTGATTTCTAGATTTTCGCAGTCACGGAATGGTTAGTATTTTCTTTGACGAAGCAATCCTGTCCTCTATGGATTTGTACCAGGCCACTCTGCCTGTCTTCAAAAAGAAGTTTTCAAGCTGCATGGTCTCGGTTGCTTCGGAATCTGGCAATGAAGCTTTCAACGAGCTTCAAGTGGCACATACACCTATGGCACGCAAGATTATTGATTCATCTGAACTGGGCCTTAGACCTCCTGAACCTCCTGAAACTTCAGCGTTCGGTTCAAGGAAACCTCAGGTTCTATTGGCAACCGCACCACCAGAGGTCAGGCTCCATGAGAAGGGAGAGCAGTTCCAAGGCCGTCAACCAGGCACCTGGCCATTGGCCGTTCCAAGGGAAGTCTAGCTCTTCGCCTTCAGATAAAACAGGAACACGTGGCGTCCTTGCTCCTAGTAGCGATGCCAGGAGCCCCTAGTAGCCAGCTTCTTCTACCAAAATCATGGCGTCATAGTAGGAGCAAAAAGCTACTAGGGGCTCCTGGCCATACTACTAGGAGCAAGGACGCTAGCCAGGTTCGTGCGAACGACACACCCGAGCACGCGTCTTGGAAAGAGCAGAAATTTCCCCACCGCATGGTTTCTGTCCACTATATCAACCAGGAGTGCAAAGCAAAAAAGAAAGCCGGGCTTTCAGTCCACGTCAGAATTGTACAGAAATCATATCCTTTTCCTGAAAAGCTAGGAGCAAGAAGCTACTAGTAGCAAAGGGCATCGCTACTAGTGACAAAGGCAGAGTGTCTCGATGTGCCAACCCGTTCTTGGCCTCAGCCCACGGATCATCCGTCGCCTGCTTCCGCTAGCTGCTGACAGCACCCGGAGGAAAAGTCCTCAGCCAGATTTGGTGCTTCTTGTTACTACTAGTAGGGCACCTGTTACTACTAGCGATGCACTTGTTACTAATAGCTTCTTGTTACTACTAGTAAGGCACCTGTTACTACTAGTAAGGCACCTGTTACTACTAGTAAGGCACCTGTTTTTACGCGTCCTAAACATGTCCAGCATTCGCTGGGGGTGTTGCATGTTTCATCGACAGCTACCCATTCACAATGATTATATAGGTTCGGCTAGTGGTCAAGCACCACCTTGCCAGTCTCACAAGAGGGTCTCCATCAGCCGTTCACGAGCGCATAGGTCGCAAAAAATTACCCTAAGAGTGGGTCTGGAGCTGTTTGTACCGTCTTTTTTCGAACATTGCTCCTAGTAGCGATGCCCTTTGCTACTAGTAGCGTCCTTTGCTCCTAGTAGTAAGGCCAGGAGCCCCTAGTAGCTTCTTGTTCCTTACTAGTAGTAAGAATGCTTCTAGTAGTAATGCCCCTTGGTACTAGTAGCTTCTTGTTCATGTGAAACCGCTCTGAAACCAAATTTGATTAGCTTAGTGTGGCGTTTTCAACCCAGGACGTGTCATGCTTCGCGTTGCAGTGCTCAAAGGTTCTCCACATCTTTTCCTTTTATGCCTACCAAGCAAAAGCAGTTTTGATCTCACCTCTCTAAACGCGAAGAATGAAAAATAAATACATTATGCCTACGATGCCTCCGATTCAAAAACGACTCGGAATCCTACGATGACCAACCGGTTCACGCAAGCTTTCAGGACATCCCTTCCAAGCTCTATCAGGTGACAATTGACAAGGAACCTTTAAGTCATGTTGGTCACGTTGAATCATGTTGGTGATAGTTGTTAGTGGGTTGGAGGCCATTGGTATTAGGTTGGAGGCGATTGCTATTAGGTTGGAGGCGATCGCCATTAGGTTGGAGGCCATCGCTATTGGGTGGGAGGCCATCGCTATTAGGTGGGAGGTGAGAATAGTTAATCTATTCACGTCCTTCCCTTCGCCAAACATGTGCGCCAAGCAGCCCAAAAAGCGTCCTGCACAGAGCCCCTGCAGGACTGGGCTCGGGTCAAGTCCGCAAGCCGATTGAACGGATTGAATCGGCGGACTCTGGAAAATGTACTGCTTCATGTTGCTTCAAAAATCCTATAATTACCTCGAAAGGTCATGATAAACCCTTGTACTCCTAGATTCTATGCCCAACAGCACATAAACCAAACGCTTTTGGGAGGTACCCATCAGGAAAATTTTATTGGTTTGAGAACCGTAATCATAATCTCGTGACGCAAAAACAACAAGAATCACATTTATTTAATTCAAATTGTTGCGTCAATGGAACCAAGTTGTTGTCGTCATGATGCAACCCATGCTTCAGGGATGGCCTTTCGAGCCGATGATTGAACCTTGGGCGTCTGACCCAAAAATGTGTTTTCCATGTTTACTCAATTAAGTAGGTGCCTACTTAATTAAGGGAAAACGCTCCTAGCTACTTAAGCTCCTAGCTACTGAACGCAGGATAGCTCAGGTCTCTTCCTTGAAAAGCTCCCCCTGCCTGAGGGCGGGGAGAAGCTTCCTTGAAAAAGCACTCGCACTGTGATTTGGTTCCTGGATGTTTTGGAAACTTGAGGTTCTTCGAACGTTGGGACGCCAATTATTGCACCGCTTCCGTCCACTTCCGTCTACACGCCTGCAGTACCCGTTGATTTCATCTTGAAAACACTCTTGCGCAAGCCCCAGCAATTGTAGAGACACAGGCCATTGCTTTGACCTGGGTTCTAAAAGCACGAAATGCAAAACATCCAACCAAGAACCAATACGAATATGTCATGAATGTCCACTGTTTTTTCAAGCAGGAATGCTCAAACCAAAGACTGAGGCATTGCGTTCTAAGTCAGGCAGGATTTGTAAGATCAGTATCGCTGGCTTCAAACAGTGAGTCTTCCACCACCTAACCATGCATGCAGAACATTCACAACTGTGCAAGATTCACAGTGTCTTAAAATCCGACAGTGCAAACTTCACGGTGCAGCCTTCTGTGCGCAGCTTTCTGAGCAGTTGTTTCTGACACTTCTTCTCGGACAAAAGTGTGATGGAAGAAAAGTTGTCTCCAGTTGACGAAGGGGTTCTCATGAGATTTTCCAATCGATAACTGAGTCGGCCCAAAGATCACAAGCAAACATGGACGCAAACAGGGTGCTTCTATATGCTTCGCTGGTCTGGTTCGGAAGGTGCAAACATAGTCTGGTTCGTTTGATTCCAACACCGGGTAAATTCCAATCCCAAGCGCTTGAAGGCCCTCATCACCAGCGAGAAACTTTGGCTGGTCGTCTGGGCCTCAAAAACTGGACACTGTGAAGGTCAGTGGCGTCCTTGCTCCTAGCAGCGATGCCCTTTGCTACTAGCGTTCTTGTTCCTACTAGTAAGGCCAGGAGCCCCTAGTAGCATCCTTGCTCCTAGTAGCGATGCCAGGAGCCCCTAGTAGCGTCCTTGCTCCTTGTCAAATAGTTACTTTGACTAAACAATTTCAGATTTGCTATACGATTGGAAACATACATTACATGACATGACATACAAATAGAAACTCAACAGTCACTCCAAGTCAAACCTCTCAAGGCCTTTGAGGGAATCCGCTGTAGACTTGGTCCAATATGTGGAGAATGCTCAATACGAGATGGTACCTTAAGCTAAAATTTTGCCAGCTTGGATACATTGGATATCAGCAAAATTCAACACATATATATATATATACATCGTATACATTACAGTCAGATTACGCTGCATTCTTCAATGGAACTACACTACATATCACACTATCGCGTTTCTCCATGGGTCTCGTCTCTCACGGAAGCATTCTTGGAAGGAGATACTGAGATACTGCGAAGGGCCTTGTTCCACAATCTCCATCCACCTCTATCTAACTCAGAAGTCAAGGAAACACGCAAAGCAAGTCGAGGAAGTCTAACTATCCAACCCCTTTCTTATGCTTTCTGCAATTTTTTTACAGCTATTACGGTGGAGGCCATCGCTACTATTTTTACATTCTTACATTCTCCTCACAAAAACCACCGGGCCGGTCCCGCGAAAAGCGCTTGACGTCCGGCCTCGGTCTGCTGAAGCTGAAAGAACTGCAAGCTCCAGCGCCAGGAGCATCGGACACCACTGCAAATGGCCTCAATAGGAACAAAGGGCATCGCTACTAGGAACAAGAAGCTACTAGGGGCTCCTGGACCTACTACTAGGAGCAAAAAGCTACTAGGAACAAAGGGCATCGCTACTAGGAGCAAGGACGCTACTGGTACATCGTCGTGGCTTTTGTTCCCCGTTTGCCCCGCCCCGCTCCTTAATTAAGTAGGCGCCTACTACTTGAGTAAGCTCCTGTTCGCTCCTAGCTACTTCAGCTCCTAGCTACTGAACGCAGGATAGCTCACGCACTATTTATGTGGCTCCTAGATGTTTTGAAACATATGCGACGCCTCAGCGCGTCGAGCCTTGTAGGTCTCCTGCGAGGGTTTTAAGGATCGATCCCTTAGTGCTGTGAAGAGCCACAAGGCCTCCTGCAGAGCGATCCCTCACGTGTTGCATCGCTAGTAGGGTGGAGGCCATCGCTACTAGTAGCAAGAAGCTACTAGTAGCTCCTGGCATTACTACTAGGAACAAGAAGCTACTAGGGTGGAGGCCATCGCTATGCATCAAGAAAAATAACTACATTTGCAAGAAGAATAGCGAGTGGTGGCTCGTGCTCGCCGTGTCGATTCACATCCACTCCAGACCCAGCTCGAGCCTCCCAGAGTTCCGCCCTGCCCAAAACATTGAAGACCTCGCATGAGAACGCGAGAGGCCAGGAGGAGGGTCGGATGTATCTCTAAGTGAATCCTATGTTGAATGTTCATCTTTCTTTGTTCACAGCAGGATGAGCGTCATGAGTCATGACAGCCTTCATGGATCTCAAACCTGCCAATTGAATGGGTCGTTTCGCCATTGAAAGTCCAAAGAGAACAGAACAGTCTAGGACTTCAATCCTCAAAGACGATGTAAGCATGTTCCTTCGGCTCGCGCCTTCTCGGCAAGTTCCTTCGAGGAGATGGCACCTGGGTTCTCCAGCAAAGTCTTGGTGAAGCGTGTGAGGAGGGCCTTCGACATCGAAGCTGGCCAAGATCGATAGAGAAGAGGAGTAAGGACGCTACTAGGAGCAAAGGGCATCGCTACACGTGGAACTCTTCTAAGATTGTGAGAGAATGAGTTTGTGCCTGTAGCAATAGTCCAAATGGCGAAGGTCGATGCTTGGTGAGGCCACAGGAATACCTGCCTTGTTATCAAGCATTCCTGCCACGTTGAAGACGCCTCAGCCACAGGGCATCCCATCCAGCAACGCTTGAGCAAAAATGTCTTGGAAGAGGGGGCATGTGCGTCTTGTTACTAGTAGCGTCTTGTTACTAGTAGTAAGGCACTTGTTACT